TGTATTCATGTTTTAATTTGTCCCCAAACCACTTTTATGTTTGTATATGTTTATATTTAATTATATTTAATGTTTATGCATTAAATTAATGTTTTATACGTGATTTGGCGCGTCAGAGGACCTCCAACAGGGGTTTCTGCGTCACAAGTGGCCACAACTTAATCAAAAGTGAATGCAACATTAATCTATTGATTGGGGAACTTAGAAATATATTTTTGGATATTTTAGATTTTATACCTAGATTTTTTATGGTAATTGATTTATCATTTTATTCGTTTGTTGGATCTAAAATAGTAGCCAGCTGAAATAAACAGGCTTTCAAATAGGTATCTTTGGCTCATAGCCTTTAAAAATGGGGAACAGCCTTGAAATCAGTTTCAAGATTTTTCATGCTTGAGTTTTGAGAAAATCAAAATAATAAAAATATTATTCCATTACATCATGCCTTGTTTATTAATTGGTATCTCTGTTTTTCTTTTTAAAAAAGGGATGGTTTGGTCCCACTTGTGCTCCCTTGGCTCTGATGATGTCTTCCTAGAACCATTTACAATATCGTTTAGGTGTTAACCACGGTCCCATGGCAGGAAGTGCTGATGTAGATGTAGAAAACAAAATCCTGATATGAACCACAGTTCATTAGGATGTTCACCTACAAAGTTTCTTCATATTTGGAGGAAATACATTTCCAAAGGCAGGGTATTGTTGCTTGGGTATGTCCAGGAACAGCTTTGGTACAGTGCACAACAACAATGTTGAAATTACATTGGCCTAAGATGAGTTAAGTTTTTACTCAAGAATGGGCTATTTGGTTTGGAAAATACAAGGAAAAGACTGAGACTGTGCATGAAAAATTCACTTTACATATACCAATTGTTTATGCATTTTGGGGCAAACATAGGATTCCATTTATTTCAACAATTATGATGTGTGATAGATGCAAATGATGCAGTTTTTGCATAATATTCCCTCCAGAAGTACATACTATTTGTTGAAACTTCGTAACACTCTGTGAAATCCTGGGGGACCTATCTTTCTGACCCAAGAAGTCTATTCCTTTGTTTCAACCTTACACCATGCCAAATTCCATGTCAAAACATGCCAGGTGACATGCAGTTAAATTGTTTG